TATATCATTATGCAAAACGATTTAAACAATTCGAAACAGATTAAACACACACAACAAAAAAAAAGAATTTTTATTTCTATCTCTCTCTCTCTCTCTCGTGCGATTCGAATTTTTTATTTTTTTTTTTGTGAAAAACTGGAAAAACAAGCGAAATAATAATAATAATGATAATTTTTACAGCGGGGGAAAGGGGGGAGAGAAGGTAGGAGAGGGAATGTGGAATCGGATAGAAAAAAATTAAAAAAAAAATTTGGGGTTTTCTTGTTATTATTATTAAACGTTATTATTCGATCGCAATTATTATTATTATTATTATCAAAATTGTCGGGGAGGGGGGGGGAAATTTGTTTTTAACAACACCAACGCTCGAAATTATATTTTCTTCTGCTTTTACTTAATCGTCGTCCTTTTTCTTCATCCCACTCGATAATACGACTCCTTTTCATTTGATATTTTTTACGCTTTTCTCGGTAGGTTCATCTTTCTTTCTTTCTTTCTCGTCTTTCTTTTTATCACTTATCAAATACCTGACGTCATTATTTAAAAAGAAAAGTTTCCGATGGAAAATTTTTATCAAAAAAGTTTTTTTTTTTTTTTTTTTTTTTTCTCGTCAAAAAACCGCAAAAGAAAAGTTAATTAAAAAACTTTGGAAAAGGAAAAATATAAATTAATACGTGCGTGTGCGTGTGCGCGTGTGTTTTTTTGAGTATTCATATCTTATTCTATAATTTATGCTATAAACGTTTTATAGCACTATACCAATTCACGTTTACCCTAAAAATAATAATAATAATAATAATAATAATAAATAACGACGGGTAATTGAATAATAAATTATTATTATTATTACTGTACAACCGCGATTATAAAAATTAAATAAAAATATTTTTATTATTATTATTTAGAGCGCTATATTTATACGTTATGTATGTATATAAATTATTATGTTATGTATGTATATATTATTATTATTACTTTTATTAAACGTTTAGCGAAACGAAAAGAGAAAAGAGAGAAAATAGAAACAAATTCGTATTAAAATTTTTAGAGTAATAATAAAAAAAAAAAAAAATTTTTGAAAAGGATTTTTTTTTGTTTTGGGAATTTGAGTCTATGGAACTATAAAAAAAAATAAAAAAAAAGAAATTCGATTGAAAATAAAAAAAAATAAGAAAATTGAAAGAAAAAAAAAAAAGAAAGGAAAACTCTGATTGAATTCAAAAAGGAAAAAAAAAAGGAAAAATTGTTGTTGTTTTTTTTTTTTTTGTAAATTTAAGTGTAATTTTTTTTTTCCTTTTTATTATTTTCCTTTTTTTATTTTCCTTTTTTTCCTTTTTTCGTTTTTTTAATTATAAAAGGAAATTTTTGTTTTATAGTTTTATTTTAAAATGTAAAACTATAAAAACTATCGTCGTCCTTTGCAAAAGAAAAAAGGAAAAGGAAAAATTTTCTTTAGTTTTTATATGTTCGAATCGTCGTTAAAATTATTATTATTATTATTATTATTATTATTTTAACGATCGGCCAATGATAGGATTCGTTATTATTATTATTATTATTAATTTTTTTTCGTCGTGAGCGATTGATTAATTAATTAATTAAACGAAAAAAAAAATTTAATTACGTAATAAATAAAATAAATTTCTTGTTGTAATAAAATGATTGAGAAAAAAAAAAGTGGAAGAAGAAGATGACGAAAAAAGGAAAAAAAGGAAAAAAAAAGTTTCCTTTTTTTTTTTTTTTTTTTTTTTTTTATTCAACAGGTTAATTTGCTGTCAAAGGAAAAAATTTTCATTAAACCTGATTTTTTTTTTTTTTTTTTTTTTTTTAATTCTACTTTTTCTTCATCTTCTTCTTCCACTTTTTTTTTTTTTTATTCTGCTTTGTGTGTTTTTAATAGTAAAAAAAAGGGGGGTGGGAGGAAGATGGGGAGAGAGATGGAAGGAGGAGGGGGAAGGAGAAAAAGTTTTTAAATTAAAGTTTTATTATTATCATTAATACGCAATTACAATAATTCACTTCCGGTTTGTTGTTGTTGTTTTATCATCATCATCATCATTATTATTATTATTGCTATTTTACACGGTGAAATTATTATTATTATTATTATTATTATTATTATTATTAAATCATGTTGTAATCAAGTGACGTAAACCTGATAAAACTTTTTTAATTTTTTTCCTTTTATTTTTTCCACTCGGTTGTTGTTGTTGTTGTTGTAAATCAAATTAAAATTTACTGTTTTATTTGATAATAATAATGATGATGATGATGATGATAATTCTCATTTTTTTTTTAATATGAAAATAAACTTTTTTCCTTTTTTTTCCTTTTTTTCTTTTTTTTAGAATGATTTAACGCTATAAATATAAAAGTTTTACTACTACTACTACTATAATCAATTTTTTTGTTTCGTTGTGCGGTTGTTTGTTTGTTTGTTTTGTTCGTAAGTGTCTGTTTTTTTTTTTTTTGGGGGGGGGTGTGTCGTTGTATTTTCTTGTATGTTTGTGTGCGTATTGTTTTTCGTTCGTTTTTTTTTGTGCGTGTGCGATTGTTGTGTTCGTTTTAGGTTTAACGCACGTTTTATTTTTTCCTGTGCGTTTGTTCTTTATTGTGTGTATATTTGTTTGTACGTTTGGGTGTATTTGAGTACGTTAGTTTGTTTGAATGTGTTTGTATGGGATCGTTTGTGCCCGCGTATAATTTACCGCGTGTTTTTGTGGGTGCACATTTGCAAAAGTGTGCGTATTGTTTTCATTCGTTTGTTTTTGTGCTTGTGTGTACACGTGTGCGTTTGTCCTTTTTTGTGTGTGTGTTTGGGTACTTTGATTTGTTTGTGTTTGTTTGGATGTGTTTGTGTCTAATTCTTTGCGTCCGTGTATGGTTTAGCGTGTTTTTTTGTATGTTTGTCCTTTTTTCTGTATGTATTTGAGTGCGTTCGTTAGTTTGAATGTGTTTGTATGTGATTGTTTGTGTTTGCGTATAATTTAACGCGTGTTTTTGTGTGATCGTTTGTCCTTTCTTGTGTGTGTATTTGGGTACGTTAATGTTTGTTTCTGTTTGTTCAAATACATTTGTGTCCGTGTTCGGTTTAACGTGCGTGCATGTTTGTGTACGTTCTCTCTGGGTTTTATTATCAAGTTTCAAAATAATTACACTCTCGTGAAGTAATAATAATAATTACTCTATAATATAGAGTAGCACGATACGTTATCATTTAATCATAACTATAATTTTTTTTTTTTTTTTAAATAATATTATTACGAAAAACGAAAACGATGATTTTAAATAATTTAAACGCTCTATAAATTACTATATATATAATTTCTGACTCTATATTTTTTTTCTCTCTCTCTCTTTTTAAACAATTAAATGAAATTCGGATTTAAAAAAAAAAAAAAAGAAGAAAAAAAAAAGAATTTTGTGGGTTTTGAGGTTTTAACCTTTTATTTCGTTTAATCCAAATTTTTTCCTCGTACCTGACTTTTAATTATTATCATTTTTACTTAATCTTTTCCTTTTTTTGTCCTGCATTAGCAAAAAAAAAAAAGGATGTAATGATGATAATGATGGTGGTGACGATGGTATTACGACAGCAGAAAGAATTACAATTTTATTAAGTAATAATTCAAACAGGAAATAATTATTAAAATTTTTTTTCCCCTTTTTTTTCACCCATTCAAAATGGCGGCGGTAAAAAATATTGTTCGATTCGTTTGTGTTTCCGGTTTAGTCTCCGTTTGTTCGATTTTTTTCCCTTTTTGTAAATTAAATTTAAATTGCATCGATGTTTTAATTAATATTATTTATTTATTAATACGTATTTGAAAACAAAATGGCGGATAATTTTTTATAAATTTTTTTTGTTGCTGTTGCTGTTGTTCTCGTTATTAATAATTAAACGCATTGAGAAAAAAAATAAAAAATTTTTATCATTTGCGTGAACGAGAATTATGAATGAAAGAAAGAGAGAGAGAGAGAGAGAGAGGAAAAAAGAGAGAGAGAGAAAACCTTTTGTACTTTTCTATGAAAATTCCGGATAAACCGGATTTTCTCTTAAAAATATCAAAAATTCAAAATAGGCAAAGTGATTATTCGAATGAGGGGAGGAGGGGTAGGAGGAGGAAGAGGAGGGAAAAGGAATGGAATGGAATGAATGGGAATGGGGGGAGGGAAATGGAACGAGTAAGATACAAAACCCGAAATTTATGGTTTTAAAGGTTTTTTCTCCAGTGAATTATCTGTTTAAAAAAAAAAAAAATTCATTTCCAGCATTTCCAGCATTTTTTTTTTCCGTATGAATTTTATTATTTTTAATTTATTATTAATTATAATTTTGCTTCTTTTAATTTTTTCCATGAAATGGGTTAGAGAGAGAAAAAAAGAAAGAAAGAGAGAGAGAGAAGTGGAAACATGGCGTTAAAGCCTGGGAAAAAATAAAAAAAGGAAAAAAATTAAAATTTTAACGTGTTTAATTCCACGAATTTAATTTTTTCTCTCTCTCTCTCTTTCTTTCCCCGCCATTTTCTCTTTTTTTCCCTTTCCCTCCTTATGCCTCCCCTCACCCTCACCCCCGCGTTTCTCTCCCCCTCCGTCCTTTCTTCGTTTCGATGATTTCTTAACCCTCAATTTTCTTCTTTCATTCAATATCATCCGAGGGAAAATGTCAAAATAATTACTTTTTGTAACGGAAAAACATGAGGAAGGGAAAATCCGTCATCTGCGTGACGGGTCAACTCAAAGAATTTTCCAGAAGAAAAAAAAAGGGAATTAAAAATTTTTTTTATTTTTTTTTTTTAATATTATTTTTAGCGACAAAACCCGAAGGAATAATAATTTGTCGACGGACGACGAATTAAATAAAAATTAGTTTTTATTTTTTTTCGAATTGATTTTTTTCATTCATTCATTCAATCAATCAATCATTTAATCATTCATTCATTTAATCATTCATTCATTCACATTCGCCATCGACGTGTGTTTGTTTTTCCTCCCTCGAAATGTTTTTTTTTTTGTTAAACAAGATTGAAAATTTTTTTCATTTATTGTTGGCTATTTAAAGAATGAAAATGTCTAAATCGTGTAATGTCGTCGTTCATTTTGTTTTTTTCTCGAATTTTCTAGAAAAGAAATTCAAAAATTAAAAGGTGGAAAAAAGCCAAGTTTAAACGAGCAAAAAAATGATCATTTGACGGTGCAATGGTTATCGACGGCCATAAGCGAACTAAGATCCGAATTAGCCGAAGTTTCATCCAATTATAATACGTCAGCGGAAATGCAACAGAGACAGGAATTAGCATCGGGTTTGGATTTATTACGTGGCGACGTTGCCAGTTTTAGAAGGGATTTAGAAGAATTGAGAGCGGAACAACAGCAAACGGTCGTCACGTTGGGACAACTCAAACAAGATGTCGAAACGAGTATAAAAAATAGTCAAATTGCGTCGAGTGCGAATGCGGAAATAAAAACTAAGGTAAGATGCATTCATTTTTATTTTTTTTCCCTTCCCCCCTCCCCCTCCCTCCGATACAAAAAAAGTTTAATTTCGACCGGAAATAATAGAAAAATTTAAAAAAAAAAAAAATTCGTTAAGACACAAAGAAGCGGAATGAATGAATGAATGAATGAATGAATTTGTGTTCGTTGGGTTACTTCGTATAAATTTTAACAAAGAAAAAGTTTATTACGTATGCGAAAGTTTGAAGGAGAGAGAGAGAAAGAAAGAGGATGGGGATAAAATAAATGCGTGGGAGAGAGATGGGAAAAATTTAGGAAAAAAAAAAAAAAAAACATTCGCGAACGAAATAAAATCGTTTGTAGGGTTTCAGGTTCGGAAAAAATGAAAAATAAAAAAAAAAATAAAAAAAGTAGAAAAGAGGCTTTTAGCAGAAGACAAATCGAGTGAAAAAAGGGTGAAAAAAAGGAAAATTTTTTTATTATCCTTTTCCCTACCCACCTGTCTCTCTCTTTCTCTCTCCCCCATCTCCCCCTCTCTCTTCCTTTTCGTTCTTTTTAACATTATTATTATTATATTTTTTTTTATTACTTTTGAATACTTTTTACCGTTTGTTCGTTTGTTCGTTTGTTTCTTTTCGCCCGTTTGTTTTGAATATTTTTTTTGCTAAAGGTATATACGTAGAAATAATTATCAAAAAAATCTTTTTTTTCCTTTTAATGACCGTCAAAGGTTTTTCCTTTTCCCTCCTCCTCCTCCTCGTTTTTCATTTTTATTATTTGCACGCTCCTCCGTAATACGTTAATAAATTTTCCGCCATTTTGTTTTTTTTTGTTTTTTTCCGATCTCGATCGTTTTTTTTTTTTTTTTTTTTACGAAGAGTCGATTCGAAGACGATCAAATTCATTTTTTCAACGATCGATATCGATCGATAAATTCGCATAACGATATCGTTGCTGCCACGACGAAAAAAAATTTTTGTTTTGAAAAATGGCGGAAACTTTTTGTTTAAAAAAATGTAAATTTTTTTAGAAAAATTAAAACCCGTGGAGAAGAATAATCTTTCGAAAAGGATTCCATTGGTAATGATGATGATTATAATAATGATAATGATAATAATAATAATAATAATAATCTTTTCACAATCGGATGCCGAACTTAAAAAGTATTAAAATAATCTGTTGAAAAATCATTCATCGAAACTTTTTTATTATTTAAAAACAAAATGGCTTCCGAATTTTTTTTTTTGTTATTTTTTGTTTGTCGTTAATTATCGAAGCGTGTAAAAAAAATATCATAATCGGCAGGTGTTTAGGTTGGTGGTTGTTTGTCAACAACAAACAATTTAACCGATCCGTCAATTTTTTTTTTTTTTTTTTTTGAAAAAACAATCGATGCGAAGAATTAAAAAAAAAAAAAAAAAAATATCCGCGGTACCTTAAAAATAATTATTTTCAAAACCTCGAACTTCACACTTAATATGACGTCATAGATAATTACATTACGTCATCACCGTTACAAAACAAACAAAAATTTAAAATTTAAACTAGAAAAAAATATTTTCATCATCACGTTCACGTGTGCGACAGGAAATAAATTTTAATCGGAAACGGAAATAAAGGAAAAAAAAAAAAAAACGTTGAGAGGATGAAGGGAGGGGGAAGAGAGAGAGAGAGAGAGAGAGAGAGAGAGAGAGAGAGAGAGAGAGAGAAATAGAGGAAACGAAAAACGAAACGATTATTTATTTTTTTTTTTGGGGGGGGGAAGGTTGGAGGTTGGGGGGAGTGAAAAACGTAGTGAAAATTTAATTCGAATAAAATTTTCATTATTTCACGTCAGGAAAGTCGTTATTTTTAGTTTAGACGACAGAATCAAAAAAAAAAAAAAAAAAAGGGAAAAAGGAAAAAAGGGGAGGGGAAGGTAAAGGGGGGAGGGGGGAAAATCCTTTGATTATAACGTGACTAAAATTTTTTTTTTAATTTGTTCGAGAGTTGATTGCGGCACGATATTGTTTTCAGTCGGCGGCGGCGGCCATTATTGTTTATTATAATAATACAACTCGACAACTTTTTTTTTTTTTTTTTTAACTTTTTCCCTTCTTAAAAAAAAATTATTATCATTATCATTATTATTATTATTATCGTAAAATAAAAAAATATAACAGACACGGCTCTAATCCACCTGATGCTGGTTTGAAAATATCTTTATGAAAAAAAAAAGAAAATTCAAAACACGAACCTTTTGTATTTTATAATGGGAAATAAGTTTTTTTTAAGGAAAAGTAAATTTAATTAAATACAAATTTGGACTAGAAAAACGGAAAATCCTTTTTTTTTTTTTTTTTAAAAAAAAAAACTCTTTTCCTTTTATTCTTCCTTATTTTTCTTTTATTCCTTTTTTTTTTCTTTTTTTTTATACGCGAAGGAAAAAAAAAAAAAAAAAATTCGATGATTATAATAAACTGAATGATTATGATTATAAAAAAAAAAAAAAAAATGAAAATGAATACGAAAAAAGTAATAATAATAATAATAATAATAAGAAACGCAAAAGTGTAATAATAATAATAGTGATAATAAACAACAACAACATTAAATGAAGAAAGAGATTTAAAGAATATGAAGTGAAAAATGAAAAGCGAGAGAGTGAAAAAAAAAAAAAAGAAAAAAAGAAAATTAAAAAACAAAAGAGTTAAAAAGAAAGTGAATGAGAGAGAGGGGGGAGAGGGGGGGTGGAGGAAGTAATAAAAAAATAGAAAAGCATTCAAAGACAGGGTGGAAGGGAAAAAGACATAGATAGGAATATGTAAAAAAAGAGAGAGAGAGAGAGAGTGAGAAAAAAATTAGAATAGAAAGAGAGAGAGAGAGAGAGAGAGACATATGCAGACAGATAAACAGAAGAATAATGAGGGAGCAAGAAAGAGTAGAAGAAACAAGCAATGAGATGGCAAAAAAGAGAGTGAGAAAAAAAGTATTAACATGAACGGAAAGAGAGAAAAAGAGAAAAAAAAGTATTGGAATAGAAAGAGAAAGAGAGAGAGAGAAAGACCAAATACAGACAACACCAAGGATAATGAGGCAACAAAAAAGAAAAGGTGAGATACGGGCAAAGAGAGGGCAAAAAAAGAGGCAAGAGGAAAGGAGGGATCAATAGAGAGAGAGAGATATTAAAACGATGATGGAATAACAGAAAGAAAGAGAGAGAGAGAGAGAGAGAGAGAGAGAGATAGATGAAAATTTAAGAATAATAAAGTTAAAAAAAGGAAAGGAGAGGAAGGGAAAAAAAAGTCGACTCAATAAAATTTAAATTTTTTTCCCCTTTTATAAATTAAATTTTTCCCGCCTTTTTTCCCACACCCCCTTGCCCTCCTCCCTTCCCGTCATTTCAAAAAGCGGAAAACGTCATTAAAAAAAAAGAAAAGTTTTGAAATCTTGTTTTTTTTTTTTTTTTTTTTTGTTTTTCGTCATTAACGGTTTTCGTGTAAACACGAAATCAATATAACACACGAAGAAGAGGTTTGCTGCGGTTAAAAATTTTTCTTTGAAACGTGATTTCTAACAAAACGTCTTAGCGCGAAATTATTCATCTGTTTCCACGTTTCCTTTGTATACGAAAATAGTTGGAGTTGTTGTATACGACCTCATTTTGAAAAATTATTATATATATATATATAAAAGAAAAACATATGATGAAAAACCCTACGTAGTAATAAAAGTTTTTCTCTTTTTATTCTTTTGAAAAATAAAAAAAATTTTTTTTTTTTCAAGTTTGTTTTGAAAGAAAACAAATTTCTCTCTCTCTCTCTCTCTTCGTTTTAAAATTGAAAATGTTTTCTATTAATAATAATAATAATTTTCACCGAAAACGTTTTTATTTAGATTCATTCGAAATTTAAATAAAAATTAATAATAATAATAATAAAAGTTTTTTGTTGTTTTACTTGTTGTCGTGGTTGTAGAAAACGGTTTTTTTGTTTTTTCAAAAGAATTTTTAATATTGTTTTATTTTAATTCGAATTCATTGAAATGAACTAATAAATAAATTACAAAAACTTTTTCCTACTCCCTTATTTATTATATTGTGATTTAACAATAAAAACGACGTGTAAAAAGAAAAATTCTTCTCGCGACGCCATTTTTTTTCAAAAAAAAAAAAAAAAAAAAATGAAAAAAAAGGGAAAAATTAAGAAAGTAAGATATAAATAAAATTTTTTTTCGCGAGGCATAAAAATGTAAGGAAGAAGGGTGGGGATGGGGTAGAATGGGGCGGGGGGTGACTTCGTGGAATAAGAAAAAAAAACAAGGTGGTAAAAAGTTTTTTTTTTTTTTTTACCTTATCGAAAACCGACAGACATTCTCCTGTTAAACATTTTGTAAACTGTCATATTTTAAACAAGTTAAATTGCGGCGTATGGTAACAGGAAAGGGAAGAGAGAAAAAAAAAGGAACAACGACGGGAAACAAGGTGGGAACAAGAGGAAGAGGGAACGAACGGGAAAGAGAAAAACGACGAATGGAAAAAAAAAAAAAATTTCGCGGAAACTTGAAAAGTTTTTCTTTTCCTTTTGATTAAAAAAAAAAAATAATAAAAAAATAAACAAGAAAAAAAAGTGGAAGAAGAAGAAAAAAAAAATAAATAAAAATAATTAATGAGAAATCGATTCGTATAACTTGAAATATAAACGAGAGAGTATTCAACAGAAACACACGGAAGTAAAAATAAAAAAGAGAGAGAGAGAGAGGAGGGGGAGAGATAGGGAGAAAGGGGGTAGAAAGAAGTAACGAAATGAGAGAAAAGAAAATCTGTTGGGATTTGACCGGAGTTAAATGAAGAAAAAACTTTCCGAGACGGAAATGGTTTTAATTTAGAAAAGCGGTCTGACGTAATTTCCTTTCGGAAATTAAAAATGGCGTTACCGAGAAGGAAAAGGAAATTTGAGGGAATGGAAAAATGCATCATCATCATCATCATCATCATCATCATCATCATCATCATCATCATAATCATTATAACAACAACAACAACACTTTTTAATGTCGTCTGCTTTTAAACGTATGAAATCTAAGAACCGTCTGACGATTTATATATAATATGTTAATTCGCGTCCGAAAAAAACGAAAAAAAACTATGGACTAATTAACTAACCAATCCAGTCATGCGAAATTTTAAAAAAAAAAAGGCGGGAAAATTTTTTTAAAAAAATAAACTGGAGCGCTTATTCTTCGTTTTTAACCGTTAAACGAGCGAC